GTCTAATTAAATGAAATATTCAGCTTTTAAAACCACAGAGTTATCTTTCAATAACCTTGTACAATGTCTTTGTTTGGGTAGAAACAGCCTGCTTAAAATTACATCGAAAGATCTTACCTTTCGAGTAATTCAATCATATTGTTATCTTGAAGACCACCAAATACTTTGAACTTCCTAAGATTGCATACATGTGTTTTCTCATATTTTCCAAATGTGATGGACTCAACTATGGAATGCTTTTGTAGCTTTAATGTTAGGTACTGAAAATAAGAATAAATTGTTAACATTATTTACACTTTATCTTAATTACACCTTGTTACTTTAATCATCTGTCAAATCTAATATAATAAAACAATATTTCAGTGGGTGGATAGTTTTGAAGTGGACTCAACAGATATGGTTATTTGTAAATAGTGCCACACTGAACACAATGACCAAAGCTTAAATCCTGAAACTAACTAAAGTTTAACACAGATATTTCCTACACACTTGACTTAATGGTTATGGTTCCACCATTATGATTCAACTACCAAAGGGGATGACATTAATGTACAAACATGTGCTGTATTCCACCACAGCTAATAGCTGATGTAGTGATCTACATTGGAGGGTAGATCAGTGACAGTGCATTTTATTTGCATACCAAAGACATCAATTCAAATTTTAACTAACAATGACACATTATGACTCATACTTCATAAATATTCTGCAGTTACTATAGATAAATTACAATGCCTTAAAACAAGCGATAAACATCAAAATCGACACCTTTCTCAACCATCACTTAACACCAGAAAATGGTGATATTGTAAGACAATAAAACAAATACCTTTTTTATTTATTTTCAATCTGTTAAGGGTGGCTTAAAGGACATGTAGACCTATCTGAACTCTAAAATTAATTCATACAGTGACAAATTGAGTTGTGCAATGAAAACGCTGATTTAAAATCCTTGTACTACATCTAGTTTAAACACTAACTTTCAAATGCAATGATGTAGCATATTTGGCAGCTAAAGTGTAGCCGCAGTGAGAAGCTAACTGAGGATTCAAGGACCTGATCACCATCCAGGGAGTGGTAGCGGAAACAGGGCAGATGGATAAAAATAAGAGACATACTGCCACCATCTCTAATTTGTCAAATTATGTCAGGGCAGGAATGAAAAATGGGACATAAAACTATATCAAGAGAGGAGACCTAATTGCCCAGCAGTAAGGTACTGGGCATCTCTGGCAAAGGTCTAAGCTTTTTTTTTAAAAAAAAAAAAAAAGATTCAGCAGAGATATCTCTGCATACATTTCGCTTCCTTTGCTTCTGACAATAACTTATTAATCTGAGCAATAATAAGCTTCCAACATGACTGCAGCACCTACTTTAAGCTTCAACAGTCCTCTGGCCTCATAGACGTCACATCTCAGAAATGGGACAGGCAGGACCAGAAGGTGAACAAGACCATAAATGACAACTGTCTCGAGATTATCAACAACAATTTTGTCATAACAGTTGTGGACCTGCAAATAGGAAATTTGGTGAAGGAAGGAAGAAGGATAAAGTGGTTGGTTAACGGGTTAAAACTCAACTAAACTATGTTCAATTGAACCTAATATTTGATAGTGGTTTATTTATATACTTTTACTTGATTTAATTATGCTTTCAGCATATAGACTATACAGTGTAGGATGAAAGAATGGCAGTGAGTAATGAATTGGAAAGGATGTGGAAGGAAGCAGTCATGGCCAAATTTAAGGTACTATTTAGGGATTTGCTTGGAGAGACTGAAGAAAAGCACAAAAAACCTCATTCAAGATAGCTGGTCTCTAAGCCAAGATTTTAATCTGAGACCTCCGAAACATGAAGCAGAAGAGCTAACCACTCCACTAAGATGTTCAGTATTTTATAGTGATATTTCCTCCATCCCCAATATATTCATTACACCACAACAACTCATATGCCAGACCTTACCAGTGACAAAACAGTGTCCATTTGAAAGTGTCACAGACATTAAGCCAAAAATGTGTGGTCCTCCAGCTTGGGGGTTGTTAGGGGACTAAGAACCCCTCATCATAAAAATTTGTTACAAAATGTCAAATGTTACAAGGCATAAATGGTTATATGAGGGGCAGTCAAAAAGTTCCTGGAACTGTGGTATAGCACTGTAATGGTAGGACATATGGCAACGCTTACCTAATCACCTTCAAAGTAGGACCCTTGCGTGCACACACACTTACTCCATCGATCCTGCCATTGTTGGAAGCACCGGCGGAAGGCTTCATTTGGAATCTTCCGGAGTTCGGCCGTCGCATTCGATTTGATGTCCTCCATGGTTGTGAAACGCGTCCCCTTGAGGCCCATTTTCAGAGTAGGGAACAGCCAGAAGTCACTCGGAGCAAGATCCGGAGAGTATGGTGGTTGGGTGATCACGGGAATGCTTTTCTCAGCGAGGAATTGCTGCACAACCAGCGATGTGTCGAATGCGACAGCCGACCTCCGGAAGATTCCAAACGAAGCCTTCCGCCGGTGCTTCCAACAATGGCAGGATCGATGGAGCAAGTGTGTGTGTGCGCAGGGGTCCTACTTTGAAGCATATTTCTTGAAATAAGTTATTGCGAACGTCATCCACTTTAGTTCTGAGCCATGCAGGTTTCAACATGTTTTTAATGTTTTGCTACTTTTCTAATCTCCAAAAATCAACATATCGTAATACATTTACAGTGACAAGTACAGGGACTTGCACAAGCAAAGTAGTGTTGAACAAACATGATTGTATTAACAGCTGAAATATATTGTCCTGAAGTGCCACCAGTGAAATGTGATATTGCAGTAATGCAAAAGACACTGATGGTGGTGTTGTGTATTAACAAAAAGGAATTGCAAGTGTGTGATTAACAGAGCATGATCCCACAATACAAGAAAATGACAACTTCTCTAAAATGAAGAGCATTGATAATAAACGGCAAGGTTTCTCTCAGATATACGCTTCCTGATTTTAAATCTACAATATTCAAACCTGTGGTGGGTTGTTTGTATCAGAAGACCATCGAGATGACTGATCACTAGGCTTGTCTTCCTGGATATTCCTGAAAACATTAAGACATTTTAAACACATTCAACCTCTGCACCTGCTATATTATAATGTTGAAATATTTCAAAATGGTAAGCAAATGCAAACCATACAAATTCTACGAGAACAAATATATACATAGGTGTGTCGAATGACAGGTTAAAAATGAATATTTTCTGTTGTCTAAATTGACAAGACTACATACATTGATAAAATACTTAAAAAACATTGGCTTAAAACGGACATTGATCATATTCCCTTACTCAGGTACATATGTGGACATAAAGCTGGAACATTTGTGTATAGTGTATTCTAGCTTCTTCACAACATCTTGTTTAAAGGCCGCCATGTTTTGAGAATTGACGGTCGCTTGTTAGGTTCGTTCCATATGACGGCAGTGAAAAGTCTGGACCGGGAACCATAGACATGATCCGCAGATCTACGTGTTGGAATAGGTATGAAGTAAAATTACCTTCAGCCAAGGATGCCATAGGTCGGAGATAACCGAACCAAGATTTTAAGGATGTTGATGAAATAAAATACAAAGGTTTGAAAATAAAATTAACTTTATCAATGCCATGAACTTTTCTCAATATCAAAAGTTTTCCTTAATACGCAATATTTAAGGTAACGGAAACGTGTTATGACAAAATAAAATGCCATGACAATTTCTGCCACAGGGAATTTAATCGATTTACTGAAATGAAGTTTAACCTACTGATAAGCTTACGCAGAGGCCCATTTTAGCACAGATAAGAGCATGTTAGTGAGCTGTGTAGATTGTCTAAGTATAACCCATTACGAAACTTCGCCAGATTTTAAGTTCGTATAGTGGTTTCTGAAATAAAGGTGTTAAAAAAATACATGTCCGAGGTTTTCATGTAAAAACTCCTTTGATAATTACCCAGAGAATCATTCTAGAGTTCATCGTAAACGTTATACATTTCTTAACCATATATAAATACACCTCACAACTTGCTTTCGAGTTGTCCCAGTATTACGAATGTTGTAAATTAATTGCAGAAAAGTAGCATCTGGGATTTGTTTGAAACGTGTTGGTAGTGTCGCCCACTTACTCCTCGCAAAATATGCAAAACAATAGTGGGACTATATGAACTTTGGAAACTAGCAAACTTTGTAAAATTGCACTTTTTTCAGGTTTAGTATTGTATTATTGTACATAAACATAACTGAGCAATGTGTGTGTACGTACAATACATCAGAATGTTAAATTCATGGCCACTGGAGTGAAACTGAAAGATTTAGCAAGTGACATGAACTTAGAACTTGGACATTAAGTAACAGCAGAATCTGATAACAGAATAAAATGACATGGAACACACTAAAAATGGTGACCTAAAAAATAAATAAAAACTGAACACCTGAAAAAGTAAAGGGTCCAGAGAGAGTTGGTGATGCTTTCAGTGGTGTCTAACAACTGCTGAAAGTTTAAGTTTGTGTCAAGTGGGGAAAGATGATGAAGTTTCATTTTTAAATGATTAATTTTCAGGAAATTCCAGCCACTGCTATCTGGAGTTATTTGTTGCAGAGAATCTCTTCATTTAGTGTATTAGAAGACACTTCTACCTACGAATGGCTGACCACAGTAACCTATAATGTCGCTTAGTATAACTGATGCCAAGCAGGCCAGTCTAGGTCACCTGTAGTAAGATGGCCAGGTTGACATGATTGCCTACACCTGTGGTCACACTGCAAGCGTATTCATGTGAACTGGCAGGTTCACAGCTTTGTAACAGGTTACAGTGCAAGAAAAATTAGAGCATGTATTGGTTAACATCACTTGTGTTTTCAATTACATGAAGAGATGGATACTGCCAAATTAATTAATCTTGTATTCAGTGGAAATAAAAATTTATCAGAACAGAGGTTTCAAGGACGTTATAGCAAACAGTTAGTGAAGATATGAATGTTTCAAGTAAATGTTACTATTTGTTTATTACTTGTTCCTTGCTACATCAGTACAAATTCTACATTTATGTATACTGAAATAGATTTAGCACAGATTATTAGCAAACATCAAACTGCTGAATAATTGCCCCTTCATTACTATTATAATATTCTTTAAATGTCTCTTATGTTACAAGCCTGTTGTGCTGACAATTATTTGATTGCAGTGTGGATGTGATATTTAGATTATAAATACCTTCTTTCTCAATTATTTAACAAGCATATGCACTTTTCAGTTAAATCAGCTTTATCTGGTTCAATTTAAGTATATTTGAGTGAACTCCATTTGGCTGCAATTATACTGAAAGCACATTCCACTGATTTCTGGAGAGTGCAGTTATAGGTCTCTACTTCCTTTTGAATATAAAAATTAATCCGGGAGGCATGATTTTTATGGCATATGTGGATGACATCGTAGTGAATGGCCGATCTATGGGAACCCTAAATGAAATCCAAATGCAAATGCAGACTGCAGCTTCAGTTATAGGACTGGAAATTAAAATAAAATGGACAGAGCTTTGAAGAGGTTGATAATATTAAATATATAGGGAGCTGTAATTACATTTCTAAACAAGGTGTAAGCTGACATAAAATAAAAAATAGTAGCTGGTAATAGATGCTACCGATCCACTAGTAATATATTTGATACCAGATATATATCTCAGAATACAAAAATAAGAATATATAAAACTATTATAAGACCAGTAGTATTTATATGGCAGTGAGCACTGGACAGTAACTGGGAAAATGGCATCTAGCCTGATGACATGGGAAAGAAAGATCTTACAGAAAATATATGGACCAAAATGCGAACAAGGGGTGTGGAAAATGAGGACTAACTTGGAACAGCAAAGACTGGTATGGCTGGGACACATCAGAATAGATGGAGCCTGCATGGCTAAAAAAAGGTGTTCTTCTCAAAACCTGGAGGTAGACGTGATATTGGAAGACAGAAATGAAGATGGCTGGATGATGTTGAAGATGATATAAAAGCCCTTGGTATAAGACAATGGAGAATAAAAGCTCAAGATAGGTTTAGTGGATGGCTGTCAAGAGGAAGGCTAAGGTTAAACTAAAAGGACCATGAAGCCACAGAATAAGAGTGAAAATCCTAGATGCATTAAAATTATATATTTTTTGTCTGTATACAGACAGTTCCATTTGGCTTAAGATTAAAATGGAAATGTCAGCATATCATTTAAAAGAGTGTTTGGCCTGAATATGATACATTATTTTGAAACATATTGCCAGAGAATTTTTTTTCCTGAGCTTGTTTGTTTCCATACTATAATTTATTTTATACTTTCTCAATCTTAACTTGATCTACCTCACTTTTCATACACTTTACCTTACTAAGTTTCTTAACATAGTTAACATTATATTAACATATTGTATGCACACAAAATATATAATCACTGTCTTTAAAATTTTAAAAATTCACTCTTAAGTCTGACACTGCAGAACTTTGCTCATTTCTTTCCATATTTCAATTTGTTTTTAAACCTTTTTGGATTTATTCCATATGCTCTCAGACGTGCATCTGAAATGGCAGGATTGTCCTGCTTTGCAGATTCATCACTCTGTCTATAAACCTTGTGGAATTTCTTTCCAGAAATTTCCTTATGATTAGGTTTCTTACACACCAGTGGAACTAATTGGATCTCTGCAGGTGCTTTACAACTGAATTTATTTATTTTTTCAGATTTGGTATTTTTCTTCCTTGCCTTTTGTGAATTTAAAGACTGGTCAGTTTCTACATTACCATTTTTAAGAGATGAGATCAATCTATTTCCACTGGCAACTTCACCACTTTCTGTTTTGTCTGTTCCATTTGATTGCACGATGTGATCATCCATTACTCTCTTCTTCTTAATGCCATCATGTAATTCAACACCACAATTTGTATGCTTTCTGCGTTTCCTCTTCTGCTTCCTCTTTGTTTCTTCATTTTCAGTTTGTTGCCTTGAAGGTTCTCTGTAATATAAGTAATGTAAATCATGTCTAAGTATAAGGTAGCTGAATTACAGCTAAAATTGTTTAAATGAGTTACGAATTTTAGATGATATAAAGAATGACTGCAGGCACCTGTTGAGCCACACCTCAAATCAATTTAATTTTCTAAGGCTAGAGCAGGGCGCTGAGAATATTCTGACTTAAAAGGAAGTAATGGGAGGCTACAGAAAACTGCATAATGAGGAAGTTAAAATCATTTGGGAGACTCAGGCATACATGGAAGGATAATATTAAAATGGTTATGTTGTGAACTGTATTCAACTGACTCAGGAAGAGGACCAATGTCAGCTTTTAGGAGGATTCTACTCCATGTGGTTCATTAAGTCACTCATTTTAAAGCCTCTGATCCTTATCTTGGTACTTATCACACATTATTATTATTATTATTTAGTGTTCTGTCTGACGACAGGTCCATATGAACAGGATCCTTCCATCCTTTTCTCGGACTGGGACCTGTTCATATACGTTCTTGGCAGATGATCCAGAAGTGGTTTGCCATTGCCTTCTTCTGTGTGTGAATGGAGTAATTGTTGGGATGCCACGGAGGAAAACTCCGTGTTGCCTAGACCACGGCCTTGCCCAACACAAGTTATAAATTCGGGCACCGCCGGGAATTGAACTCGAGACCCCAGGATTACAAGGCCAGCGTTCTAACCGCTAGACCACCATGGCAGATTTTATCACACATACTAGTAGTAAATTATGACTGTTTCCAGGATGCATGGCCTTCCTTCATTATGTTACACACTAGCACCCCATGAAATATAACTACCATTATACAGGTTCCGACAAACAGTGCGGGCTGTGGCTGCTGGGCCACTGTGTTGCATTCTTTCTAATGTGTCAATTACCCGTAACAAGCTGTAATACTGACATTTCTGAACATTTCACGAGGCTTCAAATACCTCTCTTTATAAATAAAATTCTGATTACAGATTTATTGGCTTCAGTGATGGTGGAAGGCAGTTAGTTGGAAGACCAGTGTCAAGCACACTATACCTTAATTTTCAAAGTAAATATTAAAAAAAAATTGTGAGTGAATAAAATATCGTGGCAACATTATTAATTTTACGTATCAAAGAGTATATTATTTTTATGGGCTTCAATTTTAATGTTATGATATTAAGTACTTACTCAGAATAAAGACTGTGGAAAACTTTCCTTTTCAAATTCTCATTTTTTGATTTACTATCATATGCATGGACATCATATTTCTCAACATGTTCAGGTCGGTGTTGGACAGCTTTCTTAAGGGAACACCACTGATTGAGCTCCCTGTCATCAGCTTTCAGAATCTGGAATGGAAGTCACAGTACAGCCTACAAATTATAGGAGCATGAATGAGGTATCACCATAAAGCTCACTCACTTCACCGATTCGTACCTCATCAACTGAGAGACCAAAACTGTTTGGCATAACATTTCTGTACTTAAATCGACAAGGCAAATCACCAATGATATCTTCAAAATCCAGCTTGTAATATTCATCAAAATACTGGTCAAACGTTTGACTGGTGGAATCAAATACTGGTTTCTTTACAGCAATGGCCTGTGCAAATTTGCTCCATCTTTTGCCTTTCTTGTTTCTCTTAGTTGCTTGGATAAGTTCATTTTGTAATTGGTTGGCAGGATCATAGTCACAGTCCATCTGGAAACAAATCACAAATACTTTTATCAGACAGAGATCCATATTAATTAAAAGCTTATTTTTCATATTTACTGTTCTTTCATGTTAATCAGCAAGTCATATATTTTGGCTGGTTAATGAACTTAACTATAACTTGCGAACATGCAATTTCTTATAAAAATTTGTGACACACAGGTGTGTAACACTGTACCAGACCAAATGTTTCTGATTGTGGTAGATATAATATGTCCATATTAATCAGAATTTCCCAGCCACAGTAGTGAGTTTATTAAAAGCATTAATTCAGGCTTTTTCTTTTAAAAACAAATTACCCAGGTCATACAGTTTTATTTAACTTACATTGAAATCAGGATCTTCACAATGTGGTTCTTCATACTCATTCTGGTGACTATCTATTTCATCTCTTCTTCCATTCCATTCATTCCAGTTTTCTGAAATACTCGAATTAGTTATAAACATCCTTATACGAGGTGCGATCGGAAAGTTTCAAGACTGTGTCAATAGAGGTCGAACCGGATGTAGTACGAGCTTCTGCCGCTAGGGGGTGCGGCCTACATTCATAGTGAATCAGTGTGCCAGCCGGCATCATCGAATTAGCATTTGTTTCTTAGTTACGGGCGTTTTGGTAGTGCATTACACCGACCCTCCTGCGATTTTAATGAACAAAGAGTGTGCATCAAATTTTGCCAAAGACTCGCCAAAACCGCTACGGAAACCTATGAAATGCTAAAGCAAGCATTTGGGGAGTCCGCAAACTTTTGTGTGGCATTCACGTTTTAAAAATGGCCGAACCCCTGTCGATGATGACGAGCGTTCTGGACGACCATCTTCGAGCACAACGCCCGAAAAAGTTACGAAGAT